TGTTTGAAGAGGGGCATCTGCGCCCGATTGATACGCTTATTTGTCAAGTTTTGGTTGCATCATTGGGCCCAAAAAAAATTACAACCAAAATAAATTAATAGAAGAATCGGTTGAAAAAGTTTGCCACAAAGAAGGTTACCCTATGCCCCAGGACAGCCGTTCCATTAAAATCTAGCAAAAAGAGTTACACTGAATTTTTCAAGGTCTAATGACAAATGGAGCGCTAGAAAATCGGCTCTATTGAATAATTTTCGGAGCAAGAGCTCCTGTCTCACCCAATCGTCTTTTTGGATGATTCACAGGGTGCCGCGGACCCTGGCAGATCGGACAAGAAATTTGGCGTGGAAAAGAGCATTTGAATCGTGTCCCGAAAGGGCAGTCGAGGTGCCCAAGCGAACGGCAGAAACAACACCGATCAATAAACGGCAAAATTGGTAAACAAAAATAAGTAGTAAATGACGAGTTTTTTGTAAAACAACGTATTAAAGCCAGATTCAGGAAAAGGTTAGGCTGGACGGATACGTGTTCACCAGGTTTTCAAGTCAAAATTAAACTGCGCTGTATACAGGGCAAGCTAGCAGCGATACCTTGTGCAAAATTTCAGCTATTTGATTCAAGAAGGGATAAGTCTAATCTTCTGCTAAATTCGTGTCACCAGATCAGCGGACGTTTGACTAGGTACAGGGTAAGTTTCGGAAGAGCTGCTACGCGCAATTTTTTACTCCCATTGCCACATATAAGCAATTGTGATATACATAAATTAGATTATCTAAAAAATGCGGAAAACTTTCGTTGGTAGACCCTCAAAAATGAAGGCAAGCAAGTGCTGTAAATGGCAGTTGAGGGGCGGAGCGCGGGTGTCGCAGCTGGCGAATACTGTTTTTCTGCCCCCGGGATGGGGCGACCAGATGGGAAATTGGGAGAAAACTATCGTAAGACTGGGAAATCGAGGAATTTTTGTTTATGCTTGTCGCACCAAAGGTTTCCAAGCCTATCCATATGGGTTTTGGTCGACAACTACCGTAATCTAGCGGAAACGTCGAATATATGTTTACACCAGGTTTAGGTCGTAAACATTCCTCAGTGACATCTGCAAAACAACTTTTCTGCGTAAAAAAAACTGGTGATTTTGAATAAATAGAAAATGCGACTTAAAGCCCTTAACCATCGGGATTTTGCTAATAAAACATACGCCAAATCGCAAAAACGTATTCAAATTTACGGTCAGACTTAGCTAGATAAAATGACTTTTTAGGTTCCTTATGTAAGCCATCGAGAAGGGCCAAGCATAGTGCCGCTCCGGGGTCACCAGATCAGGTGTCAAATAAAGAGGCCGGGTTGGGCGGAGGGTAGGTAGGGCCCGTGAAGTTACGTAATCTGGTATGCTAGGTACCCAGAGAAACGGGGGTGCTTCGGTCAGTTTAAAGCCCAGAGCAAGAGCTTTGGGTCTACTGGTCTTTAAAATTCAAGCATTCCTGATTGCATTTCCGGCAAAGCCCAAGAAAAACGACAAAAAGTGAGATGCCACACCAACTAGCGTAACGGACCAGTTTCGCCTAGCGTACGAATTAGGTCGTGCTTAGATCTTTTGAAGTCAAGCATGAATTAAGTCGTGCTCAAACAACTCAAATTTACCGCTGCTTAAGATGACTATTTTATGCTATTTTGCGGTGTCCGAAAGTATGTAACTTACTTGCTTACTTCCTTACACGCTTTCATCTTGAATTTTGCAAATCTTTCCATTTTACAGGGTTTAAAATAACGTAGTTGATACAATTTACGGTCCCTGGAAACCGAAATCCCCTGATTTAAATCATGCTAGTTAGCATATGTGAATTTCCTGCCTCGAAAGACGAACGCCCCTTTTCCTTGTTGTGGATCATTTCTTACCCCCTCTCCCCCATCGTCCCGTCCTCCTGCTCCCCCCACATCACCCCTGCCAGACGATGAGCATCGACACGAAGAAATTTCTGCTGCAGGTCGATCCGATGGGCGGAGTAAGTGAAATATTCTCTAGTTTTGATTGTCCATTATTTTCCGGAGTCGTCCCGGCTGAAGAGACTGTTTGTGAGAGAAGCGTTGCAGATCCGTTTCCATCGAGACCAAAAGGGGCACATCAAGGCCACCTTCAAGCTCAGGAACAAGAGCGACTATCGGCAGGCTTTTAAAGTGAGGGTGATTTTTAGAGGAGAGAGAGAAGAGAGAGAGAGAGAGAGAGAGAGAGAGAGAGAGAGAGAGAGAGAGAGAGAGAGAGAGAGAGCATCCAACTTTTGAGGGTGAGTCAGGATTCTGCGAGGGCAAGCTAGCATGGCTGCTTTGAGACTCGCGAAATTTTTCTCATTCTTATAGAGATCGGCTTGTCAAGCTAGCAAAGAGCCTTTGACCACGGCCCCCATTTTCAGGTAAAATGCTCACGGAACGATCTGTTCAAAATTAGGCCGCCGATGGGGCTACTCGACTACAAGCAGGAGGCGGTCATCGAGGTCGACTTCAAGTAGGACATAATTTTCAATTTCCCATCGTCGCTGAAAAATCGTAAATCCGCTTCCTTTTAAAGGGCTTATAGGTTTCATCCAGTAAATTTCCTCACCAAATTCCGATATTTCAGACCAAAAGACGGGGAGCTGCCCAGCGAGGAGCGCCACTTCTTCGGCATCTACCATATCCCGGCACCGGAAGGTATCCGAAATCTCCCTCTCGCTCTCTCTCACTCTTTATCTCTCGCTCTCCCTCTTTCTCTCTCTTTCTCTCTATCACTCTCTCACTATCGCTGTTCATTCTCAGTCTCGTTTTTCATCGCTATCGTGCTCCCTTTAAATGCAAATTTTCAGGCTGCACAGCCGAGGGTGCCTGGTCCGAGCACTACGGTGTCGCGCAAGGGGAATGCCGCGTGAAGGTCCAGTTCGACATTTTAAAGGTGCGGTGAAACCGTATTTTTCCTATACATCCTTGTTTTAGGACATGTACGAGACGAAGTGAGGGCCCCGGGACCGCCTCGTCCGCCTGTTAATGACTGAATTCTTTGTATAACTGCTTACAAAAATTTGTGTGATGCATTGTGGGTTTAAGGTCGGCATAAAGATGCGCAATTATTTGGTGTTGGAAGCGGGGGAGAGAGCGAGAGAGAGCGAGAGAGACAGCGAGCAAGCGCGAGACACCGAGAAAGCGAGAGAAAGCGAGAGGCAGCTAGAAAAGGCCCGAAAGCGAGTGACAGCGAGGAAGCGAGAGACATCGGAAAAGCGCGAGACCCAGAGAAAGCCGGAGACACAGAGAAAGTAAAAAAACAGCGAGAAAGCGAGAGAAAGCGAGAGACAGCTTGAGAGAGCCCTAAGGCGAGTGACAGCGAGGAAGCGAGAGAACCAGAATTAGCGAAAGAGAGAGATAGAGAGATAGAGTGCGAGAGGGAGGGAGGAGGAACTGAGAGATAGCGAGAGAGAGAGATTGTTTTTATATGTATATCCTTTTTTGCATTGTCAACCATTTTTCATCAATAAATAGTTTATTAATATTAACAGGAAGAGTAGCTTGGAGAGTGACTAACACGTTTCGGCCAAGTATAGGAGATAGATGATGGAGGGTAGATGGGGTGTGGGGAAAAGAAAAAACAAGTATTTTTTAGGTGGGCTACCAGCTTCAAGCGTATTCATCGTTCGGCGCGCGTGGGGGAGGGGTGAAAATTGGAAAATAAGAGGTTTAAAGGGACTGTGAAGGCGGGAATCCATAGACAGACGACTCTCGAAAATTCTATGGGTTTTTCAGATGTCCTTTACGTATTTTTGGCTTGAAAAATCATCTCGAAATTCTTTCCCGAATGCTGAAATTATAGATTCCTGCCTTCACAGTCTCTTTAAAAAGTTAAATCAGCAGGAAAACTGTTAAAAATTAAAAGTTTCATTTTTATGGTTTTTTCAGCTGATTTTCGTATTCTAAACCCAGAAATTTTAATTCTTAATTTTTCGTAGCTACTAGTCTGAAAAAAAAATTAAAAATGTACGTACCGGGAATTGAAAATTATAAATCCGTAACTAGAATTAGCATAGAACAAATTATGTAACAAAAGATGAATTTCCAAAAAGCATAATCAATAAATCATAAATCAACTACAAGGAATGACAAATTACGGAATAGTATAAAGTACAAAAGTCAAAATTGGGGCCGAACTACGCAGGACAAAAACGTACAACTCAAAAAGCCATAGTGAAAAAAATCGTAAAATTAACATATCCCAACTAAACTGTACAAATGACGCAAAAATATACGTAAAATCGTAGCAATAAAATTAGCATAGAAATTGGTATACATATACCGATTTTGAAAAGCCTAACGAGTTCAACGGTGTGTGTGAAACGTACAGAAATTGCCAAAAAACGTTAAAAAATCGCGAAAAAGAAATTTGAATTTTTACAAAAATCAGGAGGTATTTTTGCGGGGCTAGCCAGGTTTGGTGAAAGCGTATAAGGTGAAAATTAGCATAAAATTAATTTTTTTAGAATTTTGCGCCTACTTGGTTGATCAATTTTGAGGGTTTTAGACAAAAATTTCGACATTAAATTGCAAAGATCCTAGATTTTGAATTTTCGGGCGGTAATTCGCTGGGTGGGCGGCTAAAAGATTGGGTAATTCTAGAAACACAGAAAATATATAGAATTAGCATATACAAAAATACACACATACTTTTCGGTGGGGTTTTCGGTTCTAATTTGCATAAATTTTGCTTGAAAATTTAATTTTTAGTGGGATAAATCCTATAGAAATTGAGATTTCAAGCAAAATCTACATATTTGAATTTTTAAAGGGACTGGGAAGCTTTAAACACCAATCGATATTTAACGGTCCCTTCAAAAATTCGTTAAAAAGTTTTTAAGGCTAGAAATTGTCGGTAAAAGGAAGTGAATTTGCTAAGAATTTTTGGGTCAGGTAGGGGCGAGAGCGAGAGAGCATTGGGTAAGGAGAGGGGGGTAGAGATACAGAGATTATGTACATAGGTTTTCCTGGCGTCATTGATTCTGGGGTGGTGAATCGGGGACTGGGAGCGGCTTCCACACGTCGTCGGTTGGGTTCTGAAACTGAATGATTAAGGGTTTTATGGCAAAATCGATTCGTCTGCTCGAATTTTCACAAGAATCTTGGCAAGCCTGCCCCGAATCACGCAAAAATGAATATCTAAGTTTGTGGCGCCGGTATTCCTCAAAGATCTCTGCTGGTTTACCATGCTACATTTCTGAGTTATTTTAAGCGCAAATTTCCGCCAAGGAGCACTGCTCTCTTGCCTTTCCTAAATGGTCTCTGCTAGTTTGATTATTTTTACGATTTTCTGCTATCCATCTTGTGTTTACCAAAGGATCTCTGCTAGCCTGTTTTCCAAAATTGCAAAATAGGGATTTTTCTAGACCCCAGACGTTCCGCCAAAAATCCTGTTTTTCTCAAAGGGTCACTGCTAGCTTGCCCCGGCCGCATAGAGTGGATAATTAAGTTTTTAATTTAAACAAGTTTATTCCAAAAACTCACCCCAAACAGGTTATAACTGTTGGTGGGCGGTGGCGGTGAGCTGAAGTCGACGTTCTGGCCAACCGGGCCTCCTTGTATTTGCATGCGTTCGATTTGTTGTAGCAGTTGATCCCTCTCGAATGCCGCTTTCTCGGCCATCATCTTGTAGTAGTCGCAGTTGCTCTTCCATGTCTGAGCCGCGATCTGGGCTTCAGCCAACTTTTCTTCAACTCTTCCCTGGCCGTTTGTCATGCCGTAGTCTTGGATAGGGTTGTCTAGAAAAAATTGGATTTGAAAAACCTGATTTCCTCAAGGTTCTCTGCTAGTTTGCTCTGATCCATTTGACCGAAAAATCTGCGTTAGCCGTATATTTGAATCATTTCCCTATGAATCACTGCTAGCTTGCCCTACTTGAGAACTTTGGGCTCGAATTATAAAATTTATTCTATTTTTAGGCATCCCAAGAATATCTGCTAGTATGCCAGACTTCAAAAGTCGTCCCAAAAGCAGTGTTCCTTTTCCCAAGGGGAACTCGGCTAATTACAGGCTATCCAAGGCCCAATAACGATCAAAATTTGCCTTCCGGTTCCCGTTAAACCCCTTAAAAATTACCATGTGGATGCTTCGGTTGCCCGGGGAATCCTTGGAATGGCGGTAGACTCCCGGGAGAGTGCATCATTTTCTGTGGTTGTTGGAAGAGGGCTTGGGTGCCGTCTTGGCCAAAAGGTGAAGCCACAAATGGTTGAGGGCCAGCACCGTCCATCTGCAGACCGCCACGCCCCGGTCCGCCAATGTTCATCGGGGATGGCACTAAAAAAGACATGGTTTTTCTGCAATTTATAGAGTTTCCCGCGCTTAAAGAGCGCGGGTTAATCTTTAAAGCTACTTACATGACGTGCTGAAGATGTCGGAGAACTTGTTGGTGTCCCGGTGCTCATCAATGGGGGCCAAGTCCAGGCTCAGCTCCTCCATCGTCGACGACACCGCATGGAATCCGGAGTCAGATCTGCACAGGTTGGAGGCGTTGGCCAGGCCGCCGGTGTCGCCCTGGGTGGCTCCCCACTGGCCGGATAGCATGGCGGCTAGAATAGTGGGTTTAAATGGGCCGCGATACCAAGAAAATACTTGAAGCCCGAAAACTTGAAGCCACTTACCTCTTCTCGCCATATCCAGGGTCCCAATGTTCAGCGAGTACGTTCGGATACGCTGGTCGGCTTGGCAGTTGGGCTGAAATAAGCAGTTTTTGAAGGTTAAGAAAGGGAGAGAGAAGGAGAGAGAAGGAGAGAGAGCGCGAGAGAGAGAAAGAGTAGGCAAGTTTTGGTCAATTAGACTCACCGAAAGTGGTCCTCTCTCAAATCCAGGCGCCTTCGGGTAGCTGCTCGACATCAAGTCGTCACGACTCGATGAGAAGGGACGACCATTTGGTATCGCTTGGGCCCGAGATTTCACCATGTTCTAAAAAATAAATAAGTCACCAGCGCGCTCAGATAAACCAAAAAATTCTGCGTTCGTATATCGCGTTAAAAGGTGTACGTACTGTCATTACCAACCTGATATCCGCCATTCAAGTTCAACCCATTCGTCGAGCCATTCAGCGCGGCCGGGGAGCCAAGCCGATAGTCTGGACTGCCGTGTTCTTTCGGTGAATTTTGGCTGGTGTAGGCGTACGGAGTCCTCTGGACATGCATCTCCGAGTCGTGATGGGCAAACGCGCAGAAGACAGCTCGAGGGCAGTAGCCGTGCTGAAATATGGAATTTTGTACGGATTCTTTTGAGAATTCTGCAGAAAATCAAGGAATTCCGCAAAGAATCTTTGCTGGTTTGCCCTCCTTACCGCGCCTAATTAATTAAATTACTTACCTCTAGCATATCATTACACTTTGTGCTCTTGTAGATTTCGGGGTGGAATTGCTGCTCGGTTCTCGTGTGGCAATACCCACAATTGTCGCCCTGCTCGCACAGCTCCGGGTCGAGCCACTCGTCGGCGGTTTTCGCTGCCGGGCACGGGGTCGAGCTGAAAAAATTAACGGTTTATGACGGACTGTTGCAGGCTGGTTTTGTAGCCGAAAAATCTCAAAATTCCAAAAAATCCACGTCAATCACCAAAGACTCTTTGAAAATCCGGTTTCAAGATGTCCAAACCCATCAAAATTCTTGAATTTAGTTATAGGTGTAAATTTAAAAGGACCATTGAAGGCACCTCTTGTTAGAAACTGCCCAAAATTTCTACGAAATTTGTTCTAAAATGCATTCTAAAAATATTTAAAAATTCAGTTATTCGTTCGCAATTGAGAAAAATGGCTGATAGACTTGCTATTCAAGGAATCTCATCAGAAAATCTCAGAAAACCCCTTAGAAATATCCATACAAATAAATTTTAAAATTTAACCGGTAAAAATGAAAGAATTTAACGTCTAAAATTCATCTTCTCGGCCAAAGAAACGCCCTCAAAATCAAAACCTCGTGGTTTCCCGATCCAAACGACAATAACAAAAATTTTGCCTACGTTTTCCCCAGATACCGTAATTAGCGCCCATTTTTCGTCATGTTTTTGGCAAAAGCAACCCAAGAATATCCCGTAATTACGAACCGATACTTGAACACGGCCGGTTGCCTCCGTCTATCCTTGCTGTTATGGTAGAAGGGGCACGCGTAACCCTGGCGGCACAGTCTGGCCGGTTTTCGGCACTGCTCGGTTTTGTAGCAGGATAGCACGTGTTCTTGGCCTAAATTCATTGCGTAATCGGTTGCTAGGTAGGTATGCAGCGTAAGGTATCATCTACTAATTGTTATAAAAAAGCTTACGACAGTCCAAAAACCCACGGTGCCACAACGGATCATCGATGACGAATGAAGTACGGTCACGGCCGTCAGTGTCGCCGAGGCAGCCGGCATACGCCGTTTCGCTGGTGTCGTGTTGGGGTTGACGGAGGTCTGGAAAACGCGTTTAGATTGGATTTTGGGGTTGAAAGGGACGATAAAGGGCTAGGATTCGACGCTTCTCGTGGACTAAGTCTAGACAAATTTGGGTGGCTCTAAACCAGGCTCAATTTAACGGACCTAAAACATTTTTCAGCAAAAATTAACGAGTTTTGATTCGTTTTTTCGCTATGGCGCATATTTGTCGAGGCCTAGCGGGAGGAGCGAGTTGATTTTTCGGATTTCTAGCCCCTTAAATGAATCACGGCAGTAATCGCTATGCATCGGAGGAGAAATATAGTAAAATTACGGTATGCAAAAGCCGTACCGTTTCGTTTTTATGCAACTACGCAATAATACGTTCCGAACAATTCAACAAAACGTTAGATGAAGCCTACTAACCTTGTTGGGAATGTGCAAACGCGCAGTGCGCCCCATTTTTCACGCACTGGCCCCGGGCATCTGTTGGGTGCACGCACTGGGCCGTCTTGTAGTAGCGTAGGTGGTATTTTCGCTCGACGTCGCCGCTGACACGGTGCAGGTAGGGGCATCTGAAATTAGACAATATTATTTATTCTAAAAATTACAACGACGTTGCTCACACGCCAAAAGCTCCGTAACGCTTACTTAGGCTAACTTACGCAAGCAAGCTGTTAAAGTTGTTGTTTTTTTCTTAAAAATCAACAGCCTTTTTGAAACGGATTCGATATCTTAAGTTATGATTTTTTGAAAAAGTGAAACGTTTACGAGTTTAATCGAACACGCTAGGAAAAACAGTAGCCTTTTGAGTACGAATGCGCCTATTTATGTTTGTTTTGGACCCCAGTTGTAAGTGTCTTTTTAAAGCTTGCCGTTTATCCCGGGATCATCGTAACTTGCTTGGTTTCACCCGACTGGACTTCACGGCCCCTTTAAAACGTTTCGGAAAACTACACTCCGCCACGGTCGGTCAAAAAATCCCATATCCCTATTTTTGCCAACAGTTTCAATAAAACCCGGATCCGAATCACCTTCCCCCAAAAAAATACGATCCATTCTAGCGATGCAGGTGAACACAGCTGTTATTTTCCCCCATAGTCCAAAACGGGCCCCGGTGTCCTCGTGGTCGCCCCGAAAAAAGCAAATAAAGGCCCGTGGGCGGACAAGAGGGGGAAAAGGGTTGTTTATATGGAAGCGCCCTATCCAAAATATGCTTTTAATGGGACTGGGAAGTGAAGTTTTTGCTGCACATTTTTTTGGAAAATGCCCAAAAAGCTATTCTGATTGGTTTTCCACTCAGGTTCCGGACGGCGACTTAATAGAATTTTCTAAAATCCGCTTTAAAGGTAGTCGAATTAAATTTTGTTTTTTTTAGGGAAAAAAAATTTTAAAATGGGGATTTGGTTGGTTTTTTAATTAAGCGTAATTAAAAACCTTAGGGTTTTTTTTTCGGGGCAAGCCCACAAGTTGAGTAGACAAAATGTTAGAAATATGAATAAGAAAACAACGATAATAAAATTAACTTTAAAATATTATGGGTCTATTAATTATTGATGTCTATTTCTTCAATTTTTGTAATTAGCAAAATATCGAAAAATAATTCATGAAACTCTACAGTTAATTTTCTAGTTCTTCCGGCTTTCCAAGCCCTTTATATCCCCAAAAACCAGCCCATCACCATCGGATCTTTAGGTTCCAGCTCTAATAGCATTAATAAATGCTTTTTATTTTTTTGAATTTGGCAAAAACGGCTAAATTGATTCCTGCAATTTTACTGTCAAAATTTCTAGATGTTCGGCCCGTAAAACGAACCCATCACCATCGGCGCAAATGCCGGTGTTCTCGTCGTATTTGTCGCAGTAGATATCGGGGGAATAATTGAACGATCCGTCAGGTCTTCTCGTCGGTTTTCTTCTTCTCTGATTGGCGAAATGCCAGTTGAAACAGGTGTACGGTCTGTGTTGTTGGCATTGGTGTTGTTTGAAGAGGGGGCACGCTTCCACGCGGAACCCGTCAAGGTAACTGAAAAATAGGGAAATTATATACATTTACCATTTACGATAGTTTTCATTCCGATTTTCCGATTTACAATACTAATTTTTAGCCCAATTTTTTTAGTTTTTGGTGAAACAATTCAACTACACTCTAAATATCAGCAATTTCTGTATAAAAATGTCGAAAATTCCAAAAGCTCATAAGCCCCAAAATCGATGAATTTTATAGGTATTATGTTAGTATACGAAACGCCTTATTCAAATTTTTAGCCTTGTTTTTATCATGTTTTGAGGAAATTTTTTATCCTAAGGTCATAAACAACAAGAAAAATCAGCATTACGCTATGAAATCACGAAAAGAATCATCTTCCAAAAAAAATCCGAAATGTCTTTCGATCCTCATTGCTTAGTTTTATACAAATTATATAGCTATATTAAATAACAAAAATAGCGTTAAGCTATCGTTAAAAAAGACAAATGAATTTACGAAAATGAAAATTCCAACAATTACTTTCGATCCTCGTTTCCTAGCGGCATTGGTCACATCAAAATCCTATCAGTAAAAAGAGTATTGGTAGTAGCAGAAGAATATAAGAAATACGTTAAATTCTACAGCTCAAGAAATATATTTAGAATCCAGCAAAAACGCGGTGGAACAGGGTTTTTCAAGGTTTGCCCTGGCTGCCTGTTTGGGGGGCGGTGTTTATGTGGGCCAGAGCAGCATGCGAGAGAGAGAGAGAGAGAGAGCGAGAGAGACAGAGAGCGAGAGAGAGAGAGAGAGAGAGAGAGAAGGGGAGGGGCTCCACGATTCATCGATTGCTGCGACACTCCCCCCTTTTCTACACTCACACAACCAACTAACCGATCACAGATCATTTCCACCCTCATTTTTCACCAACAGCCCTTTCCACAGCGTAAACAATAAATTTTTCCTGACGGCCCGGAGACGGAAATAATATTTGGGCAGCGTGGGGGGAGGGCTTTGTGGATCTTGGGTTATCAGAAGGTTATGGCGTAAATTTGAGATTGACAGGTAGTGGAGATTGTTTTGATTAAAAGAAACGTGCCGAGGGAATTATCGAAAAATTATATATAACGCATGAAAAACCACTTAAAAACAGGAAACGATCAGGTATACCTCGTGAAAATATCGCTTAAAATACACTAAAAAATTACATTAGGATCATGGAAACTCAAACCACTAAAAAACCTAAAATCGCGACAAAAATTGCGTGAATTTAAGCTTATTTCAGCTAGATTTGCCGTTCAAACAAAATTACCACGAGACCTGGGGCTGATATGAAAATTTGTGTTGCCAAAGAAAACTTTTAAACAACGAAAACCCTCGATTTCTGATACAGCACGATTAACATCATCTATAAGCACTTGATTTCTGAGAAAATGCTCAAAACTAAGCTAATTAACAAGAAAGGATTGCAAAAAAATCGCGAAATGGCAAAGTCCCAAATACGAGGGCAGCAACAGTTCGGTGAAATTGTAACTTTTTCTATCGTCTAGCAATTTAAAAATGCATTAAAATGGAGCCAAAAATAAGCAATAAAATAATCAAAAATGTCCGAGCTAAAAATAGCCATTCCAGGTAAACCTGACGTCTGGACCCCAAGAGTTCAAACGGAAAAATTTGGGTTGAAATGGCCGTTTCTCCAAATCAAGCCTTTAGAATTTTAAGGTGTTTTCTCACATTTTAAAGATACTTGAAAACATGCCTAAGCCCTCTCCAAAAAGAAAAATTTAAAAAAATCAGCAAATCGCGTCATAATTCGTCAGAGTACCTTAAGTACAACCTAGCCAATCCTGCTTTTGAGTCTTTCTTTGCGTTTTCTATACAAACCTTTGCTGCACGGGCGTCTCTTGGTGGGGCTCCACAAAACTGAGCATGATCCCCGGAGTACGATCACAAGTTAAGTTGCCACGGAATTAAAGGTCACCCAAGCCAATAAATCCGAAAATTCGCCGTCTAGTGAAAGAATTTGTAGTGATTGTTCCTAGTAGTATAGCGGAATAATAGAAACTATAGTTTCAGATTTGAAAAGGTATTTATAGTAGGTTTCGGATGTTGGTTGGTGGGTGCTTGGGGGGTAGTCAAAAGTGGGATGTGGTGCTCTGCTACGGGCCGGGGGAGCTGGGCGGGTTGTTGTTTTGCCCTTTTTGCCGCCCGCCGAAAAGATGCCCTTTTCTATGGAAAATGGGGTGGAGGGGCGAAAGACGGAGAAAACACGCGCCTCCTTCTTTTCCGGCTCTCTCTCTCTATCTCTCTCTCTGTTTTCCGGGGGTTTTCCTCCTCCCGGATGGCTTCCCCCGGAATCGAAATGACCGAAAGACCGAAAACAGGCAGGTTTTTGGATGGGGGTTGGCTGGGGGCCAACCGAATCCTTGGCGCGCATGATGGTAGCAGAGGATGTACGGTAGACGGTGACGCTTGGGGGAATGGATGGTGGGGGGGGGGACATGGTTGGGATTTGAATGTGACAGCCGATACAGTACCCGGGGAAAGACGATTGACGGAAACAGGCAGGACGCTGGGGTCAAAAGGGAAGGCAGAAAGCCATAGGCATTCAGCATACAAATAGGCATACAAATATTCAGCTACCTGCAAATCGCCCCTGACCCAATTACATTCCGACAGCTAAGGAATCTAAGACGTCAAAAATAGAAATCCATCGAAATTAAAAAATCTGACGGATTTTTAAGGATTGTTAAGCATTTTAGTTAAATTTTCATGGCAAAGTGCAGCGTAGCCCACCCTATATCCAACTTAAAACCGATTTTCTCAGTTTTAAGGATGACCCAACCGAGATGGAGGTCGATTTTGGCGATTTTGCTAATGGTCGAAACCTTGAGAATGAAAACGGCATTGGAGCTACCGCGTGGCTGTTGAGAATCAGTCGAGATAAAGGACGACTATGGCCAGGCAAATTCAAGTTAAATGATTCCTAATGAAACCGTATTTGCGTTTACAGGCCTTTAAAGGAACAAGGCAAAAATTGATCTTTGCAATTTTTGGGTCTGGCCAGCTGCGTCCTACGTAAGTTTACGATTTTATTTCGCGCTCTTTCAAACTTTGCGTATCTATAAAAATGAGCATAAACGCAGAGTTTTGATTATTCAGCATTTGTCAATGTTTAATCGTCTCAAAGATGCAATTTTTGGGCTTCCAGGTACCTTTTAGAAGTACAAGAAAGTACGGTTTCGGCCTGCCGATCAAAAGTTGCCACTTCGATCCCCTCCTCTCGCCCTTTTCATATCTCAAAATATTGTTCGTGTTCCACCCCTCCCCGCCGCCAAGGGATTTATCCGGTGCGTCTATTTTTCTAGAATGCACTTTCCTCCTCCTGGCTGAAACGTTTTTCCGGTGTGCCACACTGATTGAATCAATCTGCCCGAAAGACCCAAAATAGGATAATTTCCCGGGATGGTTACGGTATGCCAAAATCCCGTGGAAATATTTGCAATTATGTAAGAATGTTTTATCGCGTTTAAGATCGAGCATCGCCCCTGCAACAAAATTACTGTAGTTTCGAAACGGGGTCCCGAGGGGATTGGCGGGTGGTTACTATAACTAGGTAGCGCTTTGCGTTGCTCTCAGAATCAGACGATAGCAATTATCACCAGGGGCACCTGGCAATTAGGTGGAAATTTGGAAGCCGGCCAAATACGTCTGGCATGTGGGTATATTAGACAAATAGAGATCTTCGAAAACAAGGAATTAGATCCTGTGTTATAAAAGAAAATTAAAAACTTTTAATGGTCAGGAAATTTGAATATTTCCCCACAATCCCTTCTAAAAATCCATTTCCTATCTCTTTCTATATCTCTTTCCTCACTAGCCACTTCCTCTCTCTCTCTCTCTCTCTTTCTCTCTCTCCCTCTCTCTCGCTCTCTCTCTCGCTCTCCCTCTCTCGTTTTTTTTCCTCTCTCTTTTCTAGTCTCATCTCTCGCTCCCTCTAATTCTCTCTCTCGCTTTATCTTTTGCTTTTTGGATATCTTTCCCCCCTCTCTCTCTCTCTAACGCGTTCTTTTTTATTTATCTCGCTTTCCAACTTTACCAACTGTCACCACTTCTTTAATTTCAACCCCTTCGACCCCCGACAAAAATCGGCAATGCCCACATATATTTTCCGGAGGTCCACTCGCCCCGCTATGCGCTTTGCAAAACAACGATAAAAAGTGAAACGAGCCACGTGTTCTCGTGTCGAGAGGACCCAAGGCGGCAGCGGGCAGAAAGGGAGCAACAGATAGAGAAGCGAAAGGGGGGAAGAGCCACACAAACAACCCACACTGCAGAACAGCCAGTGCCCAGATAAAAGTTCTTCTTCTTCTTCTGTGGCACAACGGCAAGAGGGCCAGTTTTTTGGGATTTTTTCTCTTCACTTTCTCTCTCTCTCTCTCTCTCTTCTCACTTCCCCCCTCTCTCTCTCTCTCTCACTCTCTCCCTCTTTCTGTCTCTCTCTCGCCTCAAGTCAACAATGCGAATGGCTATCTGATAATGGAACGTGACTAAAGGGGTGCAAGGGGGCAGCGCGTTGGGCGAAATTTTTGGAAAAACAGGCCCGAACGCTGGGGTCAAAGGTGGTGAATCGAACGTACTGCTTTGATCTAGTTAATAGTAATTCTAAAACTAGAAATAATCTAGAAAGTAATTCTAATTTATGCGCTAAATTCCTATCCAAATTTGTCATTTGTTAGTTTTTTTGGTCGCTTGAAAATCCGGCAAATTTTGAAGTTATTGAGATTTGTTTGAAGAACATTATTAGCCAGAAACAAATTCTTAGTATGGATTAGCATAAAATAATCCATTTGAATCGCAAACCAAAGGCTGATTCGACGAGAAACGGCCGTGCTTTCATTGGCCTGGGTGAGCTTTTTTTTATGGTGTTTTTGCATGGCGTAACCGGTTGGCTTTTGGCCAATTGTGGAAACGTATGCTCGACAATGTTATTCCTTTAAAGCAACTGGCAACATTTTGATACCTCCGCTCAATCCCTTAAAAACGAGTCGCAGCCCCAGGGCATTCACACCAGATCCCATCGGCTACCACCCCTTTCCTTGCCAATCTGCTCGATCCATCTAGCGGTTGGTGTTTGTGGTCAGTTTATGGATGGATGGAGGATGGTCTTGGAGTGACATCATCCACCCTCTGGCGCCCACCCTCTTACTGCAGTACCCTCAGGGTATTTACCCCACAGGGGCCGGGGGTAGATGTTGACGTCATGGGACCACCCTGCGACTATTTTCTCTTTCCCTTTGCGAAGGGTCCGCCTGGGGAGGGAGGGAGAGAGGGGAAAGAGAGAGAGCGAGAGAGCGAACGGCACCAATTATTCGAGATCCAACGGGTCAATAGCCATCACCACCAAAGGGGGAGTGACGTGTGACTGCCCCAGGCCATCGTGACGTGTGTTTTTCGGGGGTGCTAGATTTTATTGAGGATGCTCCCACGTGGCTGGTAATAGCTGGGGCATTAAAATCCAAATTTCGGACAAACGGAGGCTTTAAAGGCACTTTGAAGCCAACAGTACCGACAAAAATCCCGGAGTCATAGGAGTAATTTTAAAAGTCTTTATTTTTAAATCGAGCAGGGCTTATTCTCAGCTTTGGCTTGGTCCTAGGCGACGGCTTAGCTTCGACCTCCATTCGAAATGGTCGCTTCCGCTACAAAACCCCAAATTCTCAAAAAATTTCCATGTCCTGCGAAGCCCCTCAACGGTCCCATAAAAAGTGCAGAAAAGAATTCTCTGGACAAAACTACACGCATAATTTGTTTTTGCGGTACTTTTTGTACTTTTCACTGTAGTTGGTCAGGTGCCAAAAACTGCAAAAAACTTTTGCAATTAGATGTTATTCTTAGCCCTTAATAGAAGCAACCACGAGATTTTGCAAAACAAATTACGCATCGGAATTTGCAAAAATTTTCAGCCGTTTTCGGGTATTTTTCGATTTTCTCTCTTCCAAAACCTCCAAAGCTTGATCGCTTCCGCCCACAAAAAGGCATAAAAGCCGGTCGTTTCGCCGTAGACTACCCGAGTAGCCAGTCACCAACTCCAACCCGTTTCCACTGTTTTCCACCCACCCTCGAGCCCAGGCAGCACAAAAAGCCAAATCCCAAAGCCTGGCGGAGGCCATAAAAACCCGAAAAATTGCTCGTAGCACTCGATCAGGTTGGCGGCATAATTGGACATTGGTGGGGCCGTTTTTGGAATTGTGATTTGTCGAAAACGGGGCAATTTTTTTGGGACTGCCAGTCGATTCCGGGCGTTCCGAATTTTTTTGGGTGGAAATGGCTGGCTGGGATATGAAATTTCTACTGGGAAATTGAGAAATGAGAGAGAGAGAGAGAGAGAGTGAGAGAGAGAGAGAGAGAGATGGAGCGATGAATTTCCCGGCGGCACGTCCAAATTTACAGCGCACATATTGTGACACGAGGAGGGGATAAATTGGAGCGGGCCGTCGGGATATTGCAGAGCTGGGGAAATTGATTACGGCCAAAATTAATGGCTATAAATATCAGGAAAATGTAAATTAGACCATGATTACGGTAGTAAAATTTAAAATAAATGAAATAAAAAGAAACTCGGCAAAACCAAATTAAAAAAGATTAAAAACGCAGAAAAATAGATGATAGTATTTTAAGCATTTGAAGCAACAATTAAATGCAATAAAAATAGACTCACGTAATATGGTGCTGCTTCTCGGGGATGGGGTGCGGAACGTGCTGTGCTGCTATAAGATGGGGATGGGGCTGTGGGGCCATCATCTTGCCCACGAAGGGCCCGACGACCGCGGCGATTTTCACGAAACTATCTGGAAAATCTAATCGTTATATTTTCCAAATTTTAGAGGCATAATAGAGCATTGAAAAACACGTTAAACAGTTTAAATTT